AACAACTTTTATGCAAATCGGAAAACTCTTAAAATTCACCAAAAAATCTTAAAAATGCATTTTCCACCAAAGGAGTTTAGATTTTGCGAGAAATGTGAAACACGTCTCAAATGAATTTGAATATAGATCTTTGAAAATTAGTTTGGGGCCGATCGGATGGTAAACAAAAAACTTTCAATCGTTTTCCGCCAATTTTCCACTGTTGCGGGTGGAATTTTCCAAATCGTCGAAATACGTATTCATTAAGTTCTTATTGAGAGCTTTGAAAATAAGTTTGAAGCAAATCGGACAAATCGGGTGGAATTTTCCAAATCGTCGAAATACGTATTCATTAAGTTCTTCTTGCGAGCTTTGAAAATAAGTTTGAAGCAAATCGGACACAACTTAAAACTTTGCACAAAAAATTTTTAAATTGCATTCCCCACGAAATCGCATTCAAATAGATCTCTGGAAATGAATTTGAGTGCGAAACGTCACCCACCAAATCTTTGACCTCCATTTCCACCAAGGAGGAATGGATTTTTCAAAAGGTGTGAAACACCCCTTAAATGAATATAAACATAGATCTTTAAATATGAATTTGGGGCCGATCGGATGGTAAACAAAAAACTTTCATACAACTTTTTTCCGCCAATTTACCACTGTTGCGGGTGGAATTTCCCAAATCGCTGAAACACGTATTCATTATATTCTTATGTAGAGCTTTGAAAATAAGTTTGAAGCAAATCGGACGCAACTTAAAACTTCGCACAAAAAATTTTTGAGTCGCATTCCATCCGAAAAAGTTTGGATTCTGCGAAAAGTGTGAAACACGTCTCAAATGATTTTTCTTATAGATCTTTGGAATCGAATATGAGCGCGAAACGTCACCCACCAAATCTTTGACCTCCATTTCCACCAAGGAGGAATGGATGTTCCTAAAAGTGTGAAACACCCCTCAAATGAATTTGAATATAGATCTTTAAAAATAAGTTTGGGGCCGATCGGATGGTAAACAAAAAACTTTCATACAACCGTTTTCCGCCAATTTACCACTGTTGCGGGAGGAATTTCCCAACTCGCTGAAATACGTATTTATTAAGTTCTTATGTAGAGCTTTGGAAATAAGTTTGAAGCAAATCGGACACAACTTAAAACTTCGCCCAAAAAGTCTTTAAATCGCATTCCCCCGAAGAAGTTTGAATTCTGCGAAAAGTGTGAAACACGTCTCAAATGATTTTTCTTATAGCTCTCTGGTAATGAATTTGAGCGCGAAACGTCAATCACCAAATCTTTGACCTCCATTTCCACCAAGGAGGAATGGATTTTCCTTAAAGTGTGAAACACCCCTCAACTGAATTTGAGCAAAGATCTTTGAAAATAAGTTTGAGGCCGATCGGATGGTAAACAAAAAAGTTACATACAAACGTTTTTCGCGATTTTTCCACACTTGCGAGTGGAATTTCCCGAAACCGCGTTTTAACGTGCACCTACATCACATAAGGTAACTACAGTGAAAATTTCAGCTTCCTAGCTCTTACGGTTTGGGCTGTGCGTTGATCACCAGTCAGTCAGTCAGTCAGTCAATTAGTCAGGACAAACAGTTTTATATATAGAGATGACAAAAGTACAACGCTTATTACAAGGGTAACGAAATACGAAACTCTACTACGAAACAGTAAAAAGAAATAAATAATACGAAAAAAGAAAGAAAGAAATAATAAGAAATAAAATGAAATAAACGAATATAAAAGCTTGCAGATTTTGGAGAGATTTGAATCTGCGAATGCACAGTGGAGGGTAGAGGGGCATAACATCTGCCTAAAGTTGGCGCGAATAAAACCAAAATTTAACATTTACAACAATATTTAGCTCATAATAAAAATTTGAAACATAGCAGGCTTGTGCACAAACGTAATTTTAAGAAATTAGTAAGCTATATTAACTAGGAAAAGGTATTCTTAAGTACAAAATAATTCTAAGTTGTAACCTCATTATTTTTAAAATGGCAGATGATGAAGATAAGAAAGAAGTTGATGAGGTAGGTTGTATTTTTCACATTTTCAAGGCTATTTCCATTAATTAAAGCAATTTAAGTCTGACACCAGACCAGAATTTTTTTGGAACTATCTTAACAAAACAATGCGATTAAAATTAGATAAATGGACCAAGCTGATAACAACTAATGAATACAAGGTAAGCGTGAATATAAAAAGGATTCTTCTTTGAATTGCGTATTTTCTATATCAGGACCATCAACTGAACCAATATATCATATACGTTTAGGTTATTTATACGCGGCTATGTATGCTGTCTTGATTCGCAACCCGTTTTTGTACTTTATGTAAAAGAAAATAATGGCATTCCAGGGTTTACTATTGTTCTCCGTGTTGATTTCGAGGTAATACCAAATCCAATGCGACCTAAGAGGGGAATCTTTATTTATACTAAGAATGCAATTTTAAACAATGTATTCAGATACTTAACAAATGGTAGGGAAATATCTGAATCTGTCGTTTTTAAGAATGCCATATTTCGTTATAAGTTAATAGGTTTTTTAGTTATTTACTAGATTTAAAAACGCCCACTACCGATTGAGACTCGCACATTGATTAGGCATTTTTAAATCTCTCCAGTGAGGAAGTTAGCGCTAGGACACTCGCATTAGTGTATAGTTAGTATAGGTTAAATTGTTCTTTAATAGTCAACACAGCGTAAACACGTTCGCTTGTATTGCTCTTTAACGGATCTGTATTAGTAAACTAGCACCGGCCTAGAGTTACATCAGCAACATTAACTCAGTTTTAAAAGAAATATCATTTTATTTGAACTGAATGATAACAGATATATTCACTTTGAATTAGAAAATAAAAGTTAAATATTATTATGAGGCTATCGGTTATCAAACCTCGGCTGACAGCTGTTTGGAAGCTTAAATTTCGCTCTTAACTTAAACAAGCTCTGAGCGTAGGGTCTCGATCGAGCATAATGTCATATCGCCTCAGCCTGCGTTTAAGCTGCGTTAGTTAATTTTCTGACTGTGAAAATATATCTGTGTTGATTGTCAAAACCATTAAATGGGAATACGATATGTTAATGCTTCTTATTTATGTATTTTTATAAGTTTATGGCATTCCTAAGTGGTATATAAAGTAAGCTGATATTATTATACATAAGCGTAAACTGTATATAAAGTAATTCGTAGTGCATGTCACTTCCCCGTCCTTAAGAAATTAGCGTATCCTCAGGCGCATATTTGAGGGTACAAAATCACCTTAAAATTTTTTTATAGATTTTCCTTTAACTCGGAGATAATTGCATTCTCTGCAACATGGTTAAAGTCAACCAGATCGATCGTTTCGAGGTGATTCTCAACCATTCTGAACCATGTTTTCTGCGCTTATTGATACTGATATTGTCTCAGCTAAAGTTTCTTTCCCTTTACGTGCTATTTATCTACTACCTTCTGACATTCAAGTTTATTTGAATCAGATACATTGCATTAAATAACTCTTTAGTAATATGCGTGATAATGACCTACTTATCTTGTTGGGTTGCTTTAATTTACCGAACACCACTTGGTCATTATTCACCGGCCTTGCCCGTGGCACGTATGTTATAAAATCAATGTTCTCAAAAAAATTGGATATGATTTTGAAACTTATCAGACGGTAAACAAACAACTTTCATACAAACGTTTTCCGCCAATTTACCACTGTTGCGAGTGGAATTTCCCAAATCGCTGAAACACGTATTTATTATATTCTTATGTAGAGCTTTGAAAATAAGTTGGAAGCAATTCGACAGAACTTAAAACTTCGCACAAAAACTCTTTGATTCGCATTCCACCCGAAAAAGTCTGGATTCTGCGAAAAGTGTGAAACACGTCTCAAATGATTTTTCATACAGATCTCTGGAAATGAATTTGAGCGCGATACGACACCCACCCAAATTTTGTACCCCCATTTCCACCATTTTCATTGTCAAAAAAATGCGAAACAACACCCCGTCTTAACGTGCACCTACATTAGGATACATAAGGAAACTAAACATAAGGAAACTAAAGTAAAAATTTCAGCTTCCTAGCTGTTACGGTTTGGCCTGTGCGTTGATCACCAATCAGTCAGTCAGTCAGTCAGGACAAACAGTTTTATATATAGAGATGACAAAAGTACAACGCTCCTAACAAGGGTAACAAAATACGAAACTCTACTACCGAACATTAAAAAGAAATTAATAATACGAAAAAGAGAAAGAAAGAAATAACAAGAAATAAAATGAACGATAAATATTTTAAACATAGCAGGCTTGTGCACTAACGTAATGATTTTTCTTATAGCTCTCTGGTAATGAATTTGAGCGCGAAACGTCAATCACCAAATCTTTGACCTCCATTTCCACCAAGGAGGAATGGATTTTCCTTAAAGTGTGAAACACCCCTCAACTGAATTTGAGCAAAGATCTTTGAAAATAAGTTTGAGGCCGATCGGATGGTAAACAAAAAAGTTACATACAAACGTTTTTCGCGATTTTTCCACACTTGCGAGTGGAATTTCCCGAAACCGCGTTTTAACGTGCACCTACATCACATAAGGTAACTACAGTGAAAATTTCAGCTTCCTAGCTCTTACGGTTTGGGCTGTGCGTTGATCACCAGTCAGTCAGTCAGTCAGTCAATTAGTCAGGACAAACAGTTTTATATATAGAGATGACAAAAGTACAACGCTTATTACAAGGGTAACGAAATACGAAACTCTACTACGAAACAGTAAAAAGAAATAAATAATACGAAAAAAGAAAGAAAGAAATAATAAGAAATAAAATGAAATAAACGAATATAAAAGCTTGCAGATTTTGGAGAGATTTGAATCTGCGAATGCACAGTGGAGGGTAGAGGGGCATAACATCTGCCTAAAGTTGGCGCGAATAAAACCAAAATTTAACATTTACAACAATATTTAGCTCATAATAAAAATTTGAAACATAGCAGGCTTGTGCACAAACGTAATTTTAAGAAATTAGTAAGCTATATTTACTAGGAAAAGGTATTCTTAAGTACAAAATAATTTTAAGTTGTAACCTCATTATTTTTAAAATGGCAGATGATGAAGATAAGAAAGAAGTTGATGAGGTAGGTTGTATTTTTCACATTTTCAAGGCTATTTCCATTAATTAAAGCAATTTAAGTCTGACACCAGACCAGAATTTTTTTGGAACTATCTTAACAAAACAATGCGATTAAAATTAGATAAATGGACCAAGCTGATAACAACTAATGAATACAAGGTAAGCGTGAATATAAAAAGGATTCTTCTTTGAATTGCGTATTTTCTATATCAGGACCATCAACTGAACCAATATATCATATACGTTTAGGTTATTTATACGCGGCTATGTATGCTGTCTTGATTCGCAACCCGTTTTTGTACTTTATGTAAAAGAAAATAATGGCATTCCAGGGTTTACTATTGTTCTCCGTGTTGATTTCGAGGTAATACCAAATCCAATGCGACCTAAGAGGGGAATCTTTATTTATACTAAGAATGCAATTTTAAACAATGTATTCAGATACTTAACAAATGGTAGGGAAATATCTGAATCTGTCGTTTTTAAGAATGCCATATTTCGTTATAAGTTAATAGGTTTTTTAGTTATTTACTAGATTTAAAAACGCCCACTACCGATTGAGACTCGCACATTGATTAGGCATTTTTAAATCTCTCCAGTGAGGAAGTTAGCGCTAGGACACTCGCATTAGTGTATAGTTAGTATAGGTTAAATTGTTCTTTAATAGTCAACACAGCGTAAACACGTTCGCTTGTATTGCTCTTTAACGGATCTGTATTAGTAAACTAGCACCGGCCTAGAGTTACATCAGCAACATTAACTCAGTTTTAAAAGAAATATCATTTTATTTGAACTGAATGATAACAGATATATTCACTTTGAATTAGAAAATAAAAGTTAAATATTATTATGAGGCTATCGGTTATCAAACCTCGGCTGACAGCTGTTTGGAAGCTTAAATTTCGCTCTTAACTTAAACAAGCTCTGAGCGTAGGGTCTCGATCGAGCATAATGTCATATCGCCTCAGCCTGCGTTTAAGCTGCGTTAGTTAATTTTCTGACTGTGAAAATATATCTGTGTTGATTGTCAAAACCATTAAATGGGAATACGATATGTTAATGCTTCTTATTTATGTATTTTTATAAGTTTATGGCATTCCTAAGTGGTATATAAAGTAAGCTGATATTATTATACATAAGCGTAAACTGTATATAAAGTAATTCGTAGTGCATATGTCACTTCCCCGTCCTTAAGAAATTAGCGTATCCTCAGGCGCATATTTGAGGGTACAAAATCACCTTAAAATTTTTTTATAGATTTTCCTTTAACTCGGAGATAATTGCATTCTCTGCAACATGGTTAAAGTCAACCAGATCGATCGTTTCGAGGTGATTCTCAACCGTTCTGAACCATGTTTTCTGCGCTTATTGATACTGATATTGTCTCAACTAAAGTTTCTTTCCCTTTACGTGCTATTTATCTACTACCTTCTGACATTCAAGTTTATTTGAATCAGATACATTGCATTAAATAACTCTTTAGTAATATGCGTGATAATGACCTACTTATCTTGTTGGGTTGCTTTAATTTACCGAACACCACTTGGTCATTATTCACCGGCCTTGCCCGTGGCACGTATGTTATAAAATCAATGTTCTCAAAAAAATTGGATATGATTTTGAAACTTATCAGACGGTAAACAAACAACTTTCATACAAACGTTTTCCGCCAATTTACCACTGTTGCGAGTGGAATTTCCCAAATCGCTGAAACACGTATTTATTATATTCTTATGTAGAGCTTTGAAAATAAGTTGGAAGCAATTCGACAGAACTTAAAACTTCGCACAAAAACTCTTTGATTCGCATTCCACCCGAAAAAGTCTGGATTCTGCGAAAAGTGTGAAACACGTCTCAAATGATTTTTCATACAGATCTCTGGAAATGAATTTGAGCGCGATACGACACCCACCCAAATTTTGTACCCCCATTTCCACCATTTTCATTGTCAAAAAAATGCGAAACAACACCCCGACTTAACGTGCACCTACATTAGGATACATAAGGAAACTAAACATAAGGAAACTAAAGTAAAAATTTCAGCTTCCTAGCTGTTACGGTTTGGCCTGTGCGTTGATCACCAATCAGTCAGTCAGTCAGTCAGTCAGTCAGGACAAACAGTTTTATATATAGAGATGACAAAAGTACAACGCTCCTAACAAGGGTAACAAAATACGAAACTCTACTACCGAACATTAAAAAGAAATAAATAATACGAAAAAGAGAAAGAAAGAAATAATAAGAAATAAAATGAACGATAAATATTTTAAACATAGCAGGCTTGTGCACTAACGTAATTTTAAGAAATTACTAAGCTATATTAACTAGGAAAAGGTATTCTTAAGTACAAAATAATTTTAAGTTGTAACCTCATTATTACTACAATGGCAGATGACGAAGATAAGAAAGAAGTTGATGAGGTAGGTAGTATTTTTCACATTTTCAAGGCTATTTCCATTAATTAAAGCAATTTAAGTCTGACACCAGACCAGAATTTTTTTGGAACTATCTTAACAAAACAATGCGATTAAAATTAGATAAATGGACCAAGCTGATAACAACTAATGAATACAAGGTAAGCGTGAATATAAGAAAACATTCTTCTTTGAATTGCGTATTTTCCATATCAGGACCATCAACTGAACCAATATATTATATACGTTTGGGTTATTTAAGCTACGTCATAGTGTCACGTAAGCCCTTCAAAAAGTGTACGCGGCTATGTATGCTGTCTTGATTCGCAACCCGTTTTTGTACTTTATGTAAAAGAAAATAATGACATTCCAGGGTTTACTATTGTTTTCCGTATTGATTGCGAGGTAATACCAAATCAAATGCGGCCGATGAGGGGAATCGTCATTATACCCTTGCAGATTGTATTATAATTTTGTCGTGAAATGTGTAAGGCATAGAAGGAGACATCTCCGACCCCATAAAGTATATATATTCTTGATCAGTATCAACAGCCGAGTTGATATAGCCATGTCCGTCTGTCCGTCTGTCTGTTTCTATGCGAACTAGTATCTCAGTTTTAAAGCTATCTTTATGAAACTTTGCAGAATTCCCTCTTTCTGTTGCACGCAGTTCATATGTCAAAACCAGCTGGATCGGACCACTATATCATATAGCTGCCATAGGAACGATCGGTCGAAAAGTAGGTTCTTGTATGAAAAACATTTTGGTTTATAAAGTTATCTTGACTAAATTTGGTATTTATTAGTTTTACTACGCTCCCCATATATATGCAAAATCCTATTAAGATCGGACAACTATATCATATAGCTGCCATAGGAACGATCGGTAGAAAATTAAGTTTTTGTATGGAAAGATTTTATGTTTTTCAAGATATCTTGACCAAACTCGGTACTTATTAGTTTTACCAAGCTCCCCATATATATGCAAAATTCTATTTAGATCGGGCAACTATATCATATAGCTGCCATAGGAACGATCGGTCGAAAATTAAGTTTTTGTATGGAAAATCTTTGTTTTTCAAGATATCTTGACCAAACTCGGTATTTATTAGTTTTACTACGCTCCCCATATATATGCAAAATCCTATTAAGATCGGACAACTACATCATATAGCTGCCATAGAAACGATCGGTGGAAAATTAAGTTGTATGGAAACCTGTTTTGTTTTTCAAGATATCTTAACCATACTCGGCATTAACTATTTTCCCTGTGCTTCTTAGATACGGGCAAAGCACTATGAGCATTTTGAAAAGGTTGGGTCTGCAAGGGTATTAAATCTTCGGTGTGCCGAAGATAGCACTTCTTTCTCGTTTATATTAAGAATGAATTTTTTAACAATTGATGCGGTAGGGAAATATTTGAATCTGTCGTTTTTAAGAATGCCATTTTTCTTTATAAATCAATAGGTTTTTTAGTTATTGATAAAATACCGTCATATCCGCGAGGCTTGTTTAAACCAGAATTTGAGGATTTATTTCAGCAACATTCATTTTAAAGGGACAGTTGCATTATTTTGGGTGATTTTAATTTATGTTTGAGCAAATTTGATAGATGTAGGTGCCTTTACAATGAATTGCTCAGGAAGGGATTTAGATGCTTACTAGATTTGAGACGCAGCGTGTTTTTTTATTTATTCCTGCCAGCTGTGCCCCTTTTCACAGCTAATTATGTCAGTGACGCTATTAGCGCCTACATCTAAGAAGAAGGGTGTAAGTAGGAATAAAGGTTTCTTGAGTAAAATTAAAAATAATATTAACCTGCTATATTATTTAAGAAAATACCATAAATAGGAGAAAAGAAAGTAAGAAGATTGTTCAAAAAGTAAAGAACTGTATGCTAGATTTAAAGAGTGTTAAGTAGATAGGATAAAGAGATAGTATTGGGGAAGTAATGGCAAATCACCGACCCGGTGGGGGAAAATTTACAGCCTCTCCGGTAAGCTATGCCCCTGCTCATAACTGGGAATGGTCAGAGACTTCCCGTAGGTATCCTGAAAGCAACGATTTTATTAGGGGTAGAGAAAGTTCGGAAGAGAAAACGTTATGCAAACTATTGTAATTTTTACATAGCACGCGAAAAGGATTGTGCATAGCGTAGTCTGTTGTGCACTTAGATAGGAATAAGGGGCGGTAATTTCTGGCTGGTCTAGCCGGAACAGAGAATTGAAGACGCCCTAGCAGAAAAGGAGAATCTATATCGCCAACAACCAATTTATGTAGAAAGACAACACCGAGAATTGTCCTACGGTTGGTTAACGACGGAAGATTAAGAAGAAGAAGCCTGCTGGAATAGGATGGTAACCGAAGATTAGGGTTCCAATTTAGACCTCGTACGGCAAAAAGCAGATATTGCTTCTGAACATATTCAATTCAATACTGGCTATTGTTATACTGCGGAGACTAGATGCAAGAGCAGTATTCAAGGATAGGGCGAACAAGAGAGATGTACAGAAGTTTCGTTATAAAAGGATCGTTAAACTCTTTAGACCATCGATTAATGAATCCAAGTACACCTTTTGCCTCATTAACGATGGTATCTATGTAAAGATTGAAGCAGAGTTTACAATCAAAAAGAACGCCTACATCCTTAACTGTTAGTATACGTTGCAATGGAGTATTGTCGATTGTATAACTGAAAAGTTAGTTAAGTTAAGTGTAGTACGACTAAATGTCATAAACATACACTTTGAACAATTCAGATGCAATGGATTGGCCGAACACCAAAGTTGCACAACGTTCAAATCATCTAGAAGACGAGAATGATGTAGGGGATTAGTGTATGATAGAATAAGTTTCACGTTGTCCGCATACATGAGTACACGGGCATGTGATATAACAAAGGGGAGATCATTTATAAAAAGAGTAAAGAGTAAAGGTCCAAGATGACTACCTTGAGGAACACCAGAAGTAACGTGAACCTGTTTAGAGGTAGTCAACCTCAGCATTACTCTTTGGGTCCTATTTTTTAAATAAGATCTAATCCAAAGCAAAAGAGACGGAGGGAAACCTATTCGGTCAAGCTTAAGAAGTAAAATATCATGGTAAACAGAGTCAAACGCCTGACTGAAGTCAGTGTAAATGACGTCAGTTTGCATTTTAGAAAGGAAAGCATCATGTGCCAAGGAAGTAAATTATAGCAGATTTGTCGTAGGTGACCGATTCTTTACGAATCCAGGTTGCACAGGGGAGACAACTGATTTGCAGAAGTGCTGAAATGAAGCACGTATAGAACTAGAGGAAGTAATAGTATAAGGGTAAGAATTATTATTAGGACAGACTGAAGAGTAGGTTGATTGGAAAAAATTAGCAAAGAGGTTAGCAGAATCAGAGTCATTGCTAGCTTTATCCATCCCGAGAGAAAAAGAAGATGGCAAACTTGAAGACTTACGCTTCAAGTTTACAAAATTGTTAAACTGTCTTGGATTTACGGCAAATTGCCTTTTGCAATGAGAAAGATAATTCTTATAGCACTGAGAATTAAGATGAAAAAAGTTCGACTTGGCTATGGAGTATTTAGCCAAGTCAATACTCGAACCAGATCTATTAAACTTTTTAAAATATTTAGACTTAATATTTTGTAGGTTTGATAGTCTGGGAGTGAACTAGGGTGGCTTTGAAGAAGTAGACGAAGGAATTGACTTGGGAATACACATATCTAAGAGGGAGTTTAGGGTAATATCAGTATTCATATCAACCGAGTCATATAACAAAGACCAATCGGTTGCAAAAATAAGTTGATTAAGCAATAAATAATTTCCTTTGCGAAAGCAACAATTACAATTGAACATTGCATGCTGTGCTGAGGGCACTAGATAATTTTCGGCAGTGAATAATGACCAAGAGATGTTCGGCAAATTAAAATCACCCAACACAATAAATAGGTCACGCACGTGTGAAAAATCTTCTTTAATACAAGAAATATGTTTCATATCAACTTGAATATCAGAAGAAGGAGGAACATAAGAGCATGCAATATAAATATTCCGTGTAGGAAAAGACTCCTTGACTGAGACAATCTCAGCGTCAGTAGGCGTACTAAAACAGAAGAGTTCTGACTGGAAAGTGGCTTTAACGGCAATTAATACCCGACCACCTCGAGTCGGACGATCATTTCTATGCAAAATAAAATTGTTCGAAAAAAACTTCAAAATCAGATATGGTTGAATTTAACCATGTTTCTGAAAATGCGATTATATCGGAATCGAAGGAAGTGCTGACCATGAAAAGATTTTTAAGTTTGGAAATGAGTCCTCTGACATTCTGATAATTAATAGAGACTTGGTCAGAAGAACAATTTAGTTTTTTGGGGCAGAAATGGTACCCTGTATTGAAGGGACTGGAAGGGTGAGAGGCTGGTTACGCTTTTTTTGGCTTGAACTCATGAACAATCATGTGTGGAGGCCAAAATTTGGGATCAGAAATGATTGGGAACATATCATGTGAAACATTTATTTTGAATGATGATATTTCACGAGGAGTGGAGAAATTAAATATGGTAATTAACACGCCAGCAGAAGATTTGCTAGCAATATAAGCTGCCAATGACTCAGAGGTGGTGTCAGACGAAAGTCGAGACACAAAAACACTTGCCTACGAGGGGAAACAACAGTTAACGTTGGAGCTGATGGGGCTGATTGCGAGCAGGTATACCTTTGCAGCCAGGAGCTGAGGGGGCTGAGGCAGTTTGGCTACCTGGGACAGGTTCAGGTACGGGGACTAATGGGACTATTACAGGGGATAAAACAGGGATAATATTTGGACAGTCGATCGGAGAAGGCGATAATGACAACATTGGAAATAAATCCAAGTTGCTAGGCAGGGACGAAAGAGGCATAGGTGTCTGGACAGACGGAGAGGGCAACTGCAAAAATTGAGGCTCCAACCGGTTGGAGACTCGAATTTGTATTTGCTAAGCAACTCATAACTCGAGTCAAAACTACTCGAGAGCTGCTAAGACATGTAGTGTAGTTTTAAGAATTGATTTCTCACAGAATTATACAACCTGGAGAATTCAATTTGCTTGTCGATGCATTCTGGGCACGACCAACGTAAGCCGCCGCAGTCCTTCTTGGCAATTGCAGCGATCTTGTCGCAATCACGCCCAGTGAGACCTGCACATTTAGCATGCATTATATTCTCACACAGCCAGCCATTAAAAAATTGCGGCAATGCAGAATCATCAGCCTGCTTGAACGTGCAAGGTTTCTTACAGCACGACATAATTACTACCAGCGTTAAAAGATAAACGCTCAAAGAATAACTATTCGTACACA